AATATTTAGGTCAATTCACACGCAAAACCTGCTTTAATATAAACATCTTTACCTAAAAAATTATGAAAAGTTTCAAATATTTTCCACATACGCCAATTTACTTATGGGTGGTTTTAAAGGAAACAATTACTTCTACTAAATTGTACAATTATCCCCACTAAATCGACAATTTTACTTAGCAAATTTTCATGTTATTGACGCTATAAAATTGTAATTGATTGCAGAAAAACTCACTTATATGCGACTTTTATTGCAAAATTGGCAAATGTTTGCACTAAGCATTAATTGTTACAAACAGTGCGTTAATATTTCGGACAAGAACGCACAGTTTTGCTTTAAATGCTAAATCAATTTTCAAATATTTGCGATTTACGTGAAACTTATTAGACGACAATTATTCTCACCAAATTAATACTTGTTTCAATTCTGGCCCTGTAAGTGGGAAACCAGACAAATTTTCTACGTTTAGCTACACTGTCGAGAAAATTGCAAAGCAATTGGCAACACCATCATTTATTTATATTTTTATATGCCTTGATGGCAACCATTTTCACTAATGCCATATTTATTTGACCTTTTCGCTGCAAAAGTGGAAACAATTTGTACTCAATTTGCGCTTTTTTGTGCTTAAATTATCGTACATTATGTTGACTTATCATACATTATTCCGCCTTGGTGGAATGTAAAAGAAACAATTATTTCCCCTATCTTCCCCAATTTTGAGTGTTTACACCGAAACTCGTATGAATTGATAACTTAGCTGATTGTAGATTTGTTTTAATTGCTTAGATATCTATGTATTTACCTTCTGAGCTGTGCACGCTGCAATTGGCCGAGGCGTGATTATGTTCATCATGTTATCCCATGCTTTCATGGCATACTTCTTAACGACATCGCACAAATTTCCTTCTTGGTTGCTCTTGTTTTCCCATTCGCCCTCACTCAAACGGTCGACGGTTAACTTGTACTACAAACTAATTCGTCTAATCCTTGCTGGTTATTTTAATGATTTCTTCACTTACGGTCAGTTGATCGTTAAAATCGAATGCAGTGAAATCTAACTTAGCGTCAAATTTCTTGTGGCCATCACCATCAGCATTGTTCAGTTCAAACTCCCAGGGAATTGGCATGGGGCCGTCTACTTCGCATTTTTCTATTCCCGTTAGAACTATGTTTCCTTGGGAGTTTTCCGCCAATATACATGGTGCTTCCTTTACGCAAATAATTTGTATTGAATGCAACAAGGATTTAAAAAATTATAGTTACTTACCAAAGCCAAAATTGCCAGCCCATAGAAAATTGATAGTTTGCTGGTGTGCTTCATTTTATTAAACTGAAGACGCGAAACGAAAGACCTGAATTTATAACTATGTTTTACAGAAATAATTTCAGGAAATGTACTTTTCCATGTTGATTTGCAAATTAATTGCATCTGTTTGCGTTTTCAAATAGAAAATTAATCATTTCCTGGATTAGGGCAGGACTTTTTACAGTCACGCAATTTAATTTTGAAAGAAACATGTTTTATACATGGTGTCCTAAAATTGAGGTAGCCAAATATTTGAGCACACATTTAGTTGACTTTTTTATGGACCAAACCGCGATTTATTAATAGATATGCGCATGGGTTCAATTGGGATTCTGCATAAGAGGTGAAATTTATCAGGATCAAAAACGGAAATATTTTTGAAAGTTTTGAATTTTTGAAGCTCGTTTTAAGAGTTATTGGTTGTAAAATGGGTCGACGAAATTGGAAGATAGCACTAGTGATGTCAGAGCCTAGTGAAGAAACAGCGAAAATCTAAGAGAAAATTATTAAGAGTCTTACTCAAGAAGAAGATGAAACACAAACTGAATTAAATTTGTCCCGTATAGAAGACATTTGCTGCAGAAGAAGCGATGCTGAAAATGACGAAAACATTTGAAATATTACGAAAAACGTTGATGCTTTATTTAGAAGCCAAGACTGAAGACAATTTACATTTTGAAAATTTTCAATTACTTCATGGTAATCAAACGTATGCAGAATCGGAACTTTTGGCACTAGTTTGGAGTCTTCATAATTTATTCCTTCGTATCGTGTCGAATTCGTGGCGCAAATTACTACCTACCGTATATTTATTGGAAATGTGCTGTAAACTGATCAACTTCGTTAAATATACACACGATGCTGAAAAATTGTAAGGAGGCCTACAAGATCTAATAGACGAATCAGCGGAAATAAGAGAGAGAGAAGAAAAAATAAACCGAAAGTAACAAATTGCTGACAATAAGGAAGTCACCAAAGCGACACACAGCTAATGGTGAAGAAAGCGTTATCTATTTAGTTGAACGGTTTTCCAAGAATTTGTTTTTGGTTCCTCATCTGGTTACGCAGACCAATACAGGAAATGTTCCTGAAACAACTTCTATATTTCAAAAAACAGTTGTCTAGAATTGTTCGAAATGTGGGCTTGCGGAGAAACCGACAAATAAGCTGCGTAAAAAGAGCAATAAAATTGATATATTTAATTAAAGAGACCGAAAAATAAGAAATACTTTTGGCTAATGACTTTAATGATACAAGAAAATTTATATACATAAAACATGTAAAGGATTTTTCGATATAAGTATTACGTTTCAGAGCTAAAGTATAGACTAAAATACTTTGTCACTGTTATACATGAAGATCGTGAATTTACAAAATTTTCCAACGTTTAGTTTTTTTGAATTTTTTCGGGAAAATGAAGACTCATATTTTTGTTTGAATTTTTTAATAAAAAAAAGTCAAATTGTTTTTTTTATTGACGAATTTGGTGTTACTTGAGAGCAATAATGGATGCAATTCTTTTTCTCTAAAATAACTGTTTCTATTCAGTGGCAAACTGAGAATTTGTTAATATTTTCCGAGTTTAGACATTTTTGATTTTATTACTATTTCGAAAATCGCTTATGCTAGTTAGTTGGAAACGATTTAAATCCAAAATTTGTAAATTTTTAGAGGAGTTCGAAATATATGATAAAAAGTAAAAATGCTACAAAATATGTCATAGTTTTTTACGACTTGTGAACACAAAAAGTTGTTGGAAGAACTAGATAAAATGGATTATTTTCAAGTCACGTTTTATAGCACCAAATGAACAGAGAACGGTTTTTACTCCGAAAATAGAACTTTTAAAATGGTGGAACTTTTTTTTATATTTTTTTTTAGTTTATATATTCCGCTAATTATAATTATATTAATTGTGTATTACAGAAATACACTTTAGAGAAATTTTCAATGGAAGCTTCTCATCTTACTACAGCTTCCGTTACTTCGCTTCCGTTAATCGGTCGATAGATAGCGAAAAAGAAAAAACTTTTTTCCCTGGGTGTTAATTGAAGTGAATTAAATTGATTTTACCCAAATCTTGGCTAAACCACCACAAGGCTGACCAGTTACTAAAAAGCTGTTACAAAAACTCCTTTATGAGTGTTTTTCAGTCATCCAGTACAGATTAAACAACCAGCACTCTCCTCATCAACATGTTAAATATTTTTAACGCGACACGCAAAATACATGTAATTGATGAAAGTGAATCGAATAAAACCCTAATAAGCACCTTGCTGACCTGCCATAACTTCAGAATGTATTATTTTGCTCACTTTTTGGTATTTTCCATTACGTCTCTATTGGTTTCCGGACAGGTATTTACACGTTTTTCTTAGCAAACATTAAGTGAAACTGTAGAGGATTTTAGGAGTATACAGTTCTTCCAGTATCGATAGAGAAATGTAAAGTCCACGGAGATAACGAATTGAGCTATAATGTGGGTCTAACAGATCAGGATGGAACCAAAACATTCTCTATCGAAGCCGAATTATCTTCGACTTTAAATGAAAGCTGCACGGTAAATGTTTCATTGCTTTGAATCTCATTAACTGTATTTTCAAGTATTTTGGCAGTTTTCCGCAGATGTGGATCTGTGGAGTGGCTCGCAATACAATCACTACATGAACGCCGATGGCAGTGCATGCGAATCTATAGAAAATATGTTAAAATCAGCTTGGGGAAGATTCAAGTCCAACCTAGAGCCATCGGTAGAGGACTCATGTACTTTCAAGCCAGTAAGTTTTGAGTTGACGGTTGTAGGAGTGCATTTTTCAAGTATTCTGTTAAAACTAGGGAAAGTACTCCATATCGGAATTCCAAGTGAGCAGTGGTGAGATTAACGTGCCGATTCCGTCTAAAGGGTTATTTAAAGCCCACGTGCATTTAGTGTGTGATAAGAGCGAAGTTGTCTGTCTTACAGTGGAATTTGAGGTGATTGAGGACGAAGACTAATGGTAACCTCGAAGGTGATTCCACATCTCACTGTCTTTGGTTTGCATGGTTTGGTTTAAATAAAAGTGTATCAATTACATTGTATGAGTTTATTTTTTAAATTCGTTTCATTCCTAAAAGTGTCCAATTGAGGGTAAGATGTCGGCTGATTATTTTTAAGAATGTAAATAATATAATTCGTTGATAAAGATTTTGTGAATATCAAGAGTGCACATGATTTCACAGATTTTCCAGAAAAAATGGGAGAATTATGATAAAAATCGTCTCGGAACCTTCCGTAAAAGAATACAAGAAAATAAGGTTTTAAAACGCCAGCCTCTTCTACTGGAAAACGTTTTAACAGTCGTAGAGAAAGTTCCTATAAGTAAATCTAGGCAAAAAGAAATTGAAAAATAAATACTTTATCCATAATTTTATTTTGAACAGGATTAATTTTAGGGTTTTTAGGTCGTCGTAAAATGGAATTGCTTCGTGACGTTTCGCAAGCACGAGTTCCTTGCATCCTCAAAGGTGGCTTGCTTGAACGCTTTCATTGTTCTGATGAACTTCAGAAACGGCAGGAACAAATTGCGTTTTACGACGGCCTAAATCCCCGAAAAACCCACTAGTTTCAAATTAATAAATGTTTTCATAGGCGTTTTGTGTTATAATTTCAACTTTGTTTTCTTCGGCCATGTTTTCAGATCTTTTCCTTTGTATCTTTTTCACTTACTCTCATCATCACTTTTACTTCTCACGCCGCTTTTTGTCCTATTTTTTTCTACTGATTTATCTGTTTGTGTCTTAAATATTGCCGTACTCTTGTTGCTCCCTAACTTTCTTGTAAATATTTCAAAAGCTTTATAATATAAGGGGTAGTAGTATATAAGGAGTAGCCCTTTGCATTTTGAGCTTTTCGAGTGGTTTTAAAAATTATGTCATATTATTGTCGTTTATTGTTTAATATCCATGGTTTTGACCGTCTGTCTTTATTTTCTCCTGTTTTCCTTCCTGCCATTTCCCTATATCAGGGGAACGTTCTGAGCTGTTTCTCTGCGGCTTTGATTTTTCCTTAAAGAACTTGTGCGCTATTTTTGTCTCATTTTTGTTTATTTGGTTTGTATCAGAACTTGGTACATCGATTCTTTGCTTTTTGTTCATTTCTTCGTCCGCTCATTTCATCACCAGTTCGATATTTTATTTACCCTTTATAATATTGACTGTAGTTAAATGTATATCAGCCCTGGATTGTCACTTCTAAGTTTATTTTCTGGACTATTCGGCATAAGTTTTTCATTCGAGCATAAAAGTCAATTAATTCCAGAACTGATTGGTAAAGGAAGTGCAAAATCGGTAGTGAAATCAAATGCCGACAATCAACCCGAACGTTATAGTGGTCAGCTGGGAATCTGCACAGTTGGGAGATGTTTGTTTTTCAAAAGTGTAAATAAACCCACGTGGGATTCGACATCAGGGGCCATTTCAATGTTTTTCTCCGCTTCTCATATTTCAGATTTGAGCCGAACATGTGTTCGACTTCTAGCCGCTCTTGTGGATCAATCAGTTGATGCTTTTTATATTTTTCCAGCAGAAAAAAAAGTTGTAGTGCTTTCAGACGGTTTTGTTTCCTCCCACACGTTGCCATTCTCTCGAGGAGGCGGCCAAATAATTGCTGACCTGTCACAATCAGAATCGGTCCCCTTCTTTGTCCATTTACTGGCGAAGAACATCTAACACGTTGACAATGCAACTAAATAAAATCAAATAGCCGCCTGACAAAAACACTTTATTTTGTCGCCATTTTAGCCAAATTGTACCCTAGAAGAGGCTGTCTGGAGTCTGTTCGTTCTCTATTTGAGTCTAAAGCACCATGGATTGAAAACATTATTTCAAATCTCAATAAGGTAAACACAAAAAAATTGAACAGTGGTTTATAATTGCTTATCTAAAAAATAATCAGGTGAAATTAGAGCACGTTTCCGTTGGGAGAGGTCAGTTTGCATGAATTAGGGCTGCAAATTGAAATTTTTAATTTTTTTTTTATTATGTTGTATGGCCAGAATTTTAGAATTAATTTTTAATTTCCACATTTTATTAGTGCTTTACTCCAATAACTGATTAACAACCTGAATTAATTCTCTGCCGTGCAAACGATTAACATGTTTTGTCGCTTTAAGCTAGAAGCACTTGAAAATTGACGATTTTTTAATAAAAGTCGTTTGTAATTCCAGTTATCAAAGTTATCAACATTCCTAAGCATTTTAAGTGCCAAAGACTTGTTTAGTGGAAAATTATGTGCAGAAAATGTGAAAATTTCTAGTCAAATTCCAAAAACATTTTTGATACAATTTCTATAAGCTTGTTAGCTGTTCTGACACACAATTTTTTTTATGTTTCCTAGAAATTAATTGAAAACGCTGTTTTCATTTTAGTGCCATAAACAGAAGAACAATTCAAATAGTTCGATAATAACTTGAAAAATCTGTCTTAAAAAAATGGTGTTTTGCATTTAAACCATTTTTTATTTGCGATTTTCATTTACAGCTTAACATTTTGTTTAATTTTTCAGCTTCCATTGTCTTTGAACTTTTCAATATTGCCAACGTGTCATTCCTAACCTTCAACAAACAGTTAAAAGTGTTTGCCTAGGAATAATTTAATAAAGGAGCAAATAGATTTTACTCTGCTTTAGTTTATGTTTACCACCCTTTAAATTCTCAGACATTTTTGTTGCTTTCCAGTCTGTATCATAAGCGTTCTAAAAACTCTTTAAGAAATTCATTTTTCATAAACGGATAAGAATATTCGTTCGAATCCAAATAGATCTAGAATACACCCTACAAAATAGAATATTCCATTCTTTGAGATAAGACCCACTTAAGACATACTCCGGAACCTTTTAATATGTCTTTCAGCTAATAATTTCTTCGCTCGTCGCTATTTTCTGCAAGCACTTTTCGCTTCCGTGTTTCCTTTTGTTGAACTAAGCAGTGTGCCCCAATAAAGTATGACAAGAATTGACGAATATTCCGTAGATTGTTTCAGGAAGCTTTCAGGAAAAGCGTCGGTAATATTGTCGTTATTTCAAATACATTCCCGGGCGATAAAGCTTTCGATACGTTGATACATAAACCACTTGAACGGTAAACGACGGCCTCCCGATTTACAAGACCCGGTACCATGTGCTTTATTTCTGGGACGATATATTCCTTCCAGATATTTACTTAGCGAGATTTAAGATTTCCCAGCGAAATAATGTGGCTCGTAAGTCTTGAGCTGTTTTTAAATAAACCTTTTTACATCCACATACAAAGTGTCTAGATATTTAAAGAGGCATTTTTTTAAATGTAATTTAAAGTGGAGATTGTTGCTGGCATTTTAGTGTTTAATTTTTTTGTAAAGATTTATACTACGTTTTGGCTAAGTTTAACAGCAATTTTTTTGCTTTTTTGAAAGTTTCTTTCTAATTTTATCATTGATGTTTTGTTTCAGGTTGTCGAGAGGCCGTTTTTTTTTGGCAATTCTAAGCAGTTCTTCATGGTAAGTTTTACTTTTTTAGTTCAATAATACTGGATGTTTAAACTTTGTCTCATGACCTTAACTGTTTTGATTTTATTATTTAATTAGTGAAATTGCTTTAGTGTAAAATGGCTAAAACGAAGTAGCAGGATTGAATGGCAAATTTGATGATACATTAAGGAAAATAATTATCTTTTGATGTTATGTTTTCAAATTTTAATTCATTATTGCGTCAGAAAGAAGAAAAAGTCCTTTCCTGTCCTGTATATTTTTCTTGCGTCTTTTTCGTTGTATTATATTTTTCCTCTGAAGATCGAGATTTAGAGTTTCTCATTTAACGTCTATGCCACCCTTAAGATAAAACTTCTTTAGTATTTTTTTATAAAATGGAATGAAAAATCGGTTTTTGTAATAATTTTAAATTGTGAGGTTACAGACTAGTTTACACCTATTGGGTCATTTGCAATACGCTTTTAGTCTTTATTTTGTAACTTTCTTGTCTTTTTTTTAATTTTCGGCTCATTTTGCGACCGACTCAAACCCATTTTCGATTTATTTTTGTTGTTTTTATTTTTTTCCATTCATTTTAGTAGTAAAAATGTGATTTAAGCTTTGTAGAATTTTGTAGAATAAATAAAAACCTAGGCAAACTTATAGCAGCTTATTTTTGATATTGTTTGTTGCTTTTTTCGTGGTTTTGTCTATTTTTCGTTAAGGTGAATATATCTGTTGCCCTATTATATTCCGTTCATCCTGATTTTACATCTTTTTAGAAGTAAATCTTGAAAATGGGTTTTTAGCTCCAGAAAAGTCTGATAAATCTAAATAGGTAGTAGTTCTGTGGTTCAAATCTTTAAAATAATGGAAAGGGTAACGAGGACATACTCATAAAATACATTTTGTTTGTGTTGCTTGTTTTGTTTTAATTTCTTCCCCTGTTTTTTATTGTTCGGTTTGCCACTATTGTCATGAATTCTTTTTTTGAAGAAGTTGACGTAAGATATTCAAATTAGAAATTATATTTAAAGAATCGTTTACACTTTACAGAATACCATTTACGTATTTTTTTATGTTACAGCTTTTCGCCTTTTTTAACGGATAGCCTACGTTTCATTTCCCTTTTCTCTGGAGTTTTTAGTGTTTTAGGTTTGATTGAAGTTCATTTTATGGTTAATTTTATTAGATTTTATGTCATTAAAAGGGCCGTAAACGGAGACACACTTTCTATAACAAATTCTTGTTCATTTCCTTGGTTGGCTTTTATGTTTTTACTTTCAGAATGTTTTTTTTTCTCAATTGTTTTATTCTATTAATTTCCTTCAGCATCAAGAGGTTTAGAATGTCTTTTTTTGTAAGAAATATTTGAAAGTGTGATTTTCAGGGCAAGAATAGCATAGTCCTAAATAAAAATTTACCTGTTTTAATGTCTCATTTGTTTTAAGGAAATCTTTTAAAATTATAATTTTTTTGCTCTTTTTCTGCCGAAGATCCTTTCTAGATGCCATTCAATTAAAATTGTGATATGCATCAAAAGGAAACACGCTGTATTGTTGTTTTTTGTGATTTTTTCAGTTTGATTTT